CCTCTATTTAGACCATTTGTGAGACCCAGGTTGTTAATCAAAAAAATTCCTTTAGTTGGAAAAAAAAATTAAGATGTCCTAAAACTCAAAATTATCCTTATCTTCAATGCTCAAAATAAAAGGGGAATTGGAGTTTTTTCCTTTTTTTGCTATGAATTGATGTATGATTTAGTAAAAAAGGAGGAAGTTTGTTTTACGATTTAGATTATATTAAAATGCACAATATGGATCATTAAAGGGAAGAGGACCCCAATGTTTAGTGTTGTGTAACACTTTTTCCTAAAAAAAATACAATAATGTTATGATTATAATATTACGTGACATTATAAATTTATAATATGATATATTATTATATAATTAGTTCTTTTTATTTAGAAATATGTTTGTAATATTGTATATGTCTACTCGTTTAATATTTCGTCATATTTATTTGATGTTACGTTCTAATTATAAGTTTATAATTATATGTGATATTATAATTATAGTATTATAAAATAAAAATAAAAATCTTTAGTTTTCTTTTTGAATATATTGTTTTACAATTCAAATTATAAAATAAAGACCTTTATTTGAGACAATTTGGCTGTATATCCTTCATTTGACTATTTTAAAGATTCAAATGTAAGATGAATGTCTACCTTAAATTTAATTAATGAAAAGTAAAATAACTCATTTTATATTTAACCACTCATACTCCATGTTATTTCTTTGAAGTTTGAAGCGAGAATTAATGTTAATTTAAAATTAATTAATGATAAATAAAGTGACCATACTTTTTAAAATATATGGTACTTGTTATTTATTATTATTTTTTTTTTTTTTGTGGGAGGTTTTCTCACTTTACATATCCTTTCATACATAGACTTACCATAAATTTAGAGCTTCATAACAGGAATCTATGATAGTGGCTAAACTTGTTATATATAGATAGATTTTAGGGATAATCCTTTTTTTTTCTCAAATCATTTCTTAATAAATTTAAAATTTAAATTTAAAATTTCAAACTTGGGTTACAACCTCTTAATCAATTGAACTATCCAATAAACTTCAAACTCTTTGAAAGGGAGGTGAACTTTGATTCCATATACCAAGAAGATTACCTATAAAAACTTCAAAAAAATACAAATTAATTAAGAATTTGTTTATTCTTTGCCGTAAGAGTATAAGATAAAAAATAATTAGTAATAATAATTATTACTTTTTTCATTAATAAATGTAAAATTCTAAATTAAAAAATAATTTTTAATTTTAATTTTAAAATAAATAAATAATTACTATGACATTTATAATTATTAAAATAAAAGTTAACTTTATTTTTTTAAAACTAAAAAATAACAATAATTATGCGCCCCTCAAGACACAGATAGTTAAACCCATTAACTAACGAACTCCGTCCACTTGCACCAGGAAAAACTAGCACTGGAGTTAGTCCACCATAACTGACCGTCAACCTTCAGCCTTCTGGTGCTAAGTAAGATTCCGATGCAATCTACGGACAGCGATTCTCACACGCCCATAATGGGTCCCATCAACTCCGGTCAAAATTTTCGCTGGACTTCTTCATCGTTCACTAGTTTTGACCAGGCCGACAAATCCACGCCACCAACGGGCACCGTTCTGCGAAATGATTATTAAGATCTTGTGGCCGCATTCACACCCCTTTCTTCCCCCATTATTATATTATTCTTCACTTTTTTCAAACGCCGCCTCCTCCTTGGTCCTCTCTGTCTCGCGGTGGAGATCTCGATTCCACGGCTCGTCGATCCGTGCGACCAACGTTGCGGCGAAGTTTCTGACGAGATAAGAGAGGACGATTTGTTAAACTTTGCTTCTCTTTCCTTTTTTTTTTTTTTTCTTGTTGAAGAATTTGTTGATTGTGATTCTTTGAGTTCGCTATAATTTATCAATAAATTGTCGACGCGGGAGAATTTTTTTGAATGGCTTCGAGTTTTGATCGATGGGAGAAGGATCCTTTCTTCTATGCAGCCGAGGAAGTTCAAGAATCTGCAGACAGGTAGTGATTTCGAATTCTCTTTTCATTTATTGTCTCATTTCTAGGGTTTGTTAGGATTCTATAAATTTATTTCGAATGGCATTCTGTTAATTTATCTTCTTCAATGATTCTGCATTTCTCCCTTCAAAAAAAAAAAAAAAAGAATAAAAGGATTTGCATTTAGTTTGGTTTTCTGAAAAATGGATGACAAGTAGGCAAATTTATGATTTTGAATTTTACTGCATTTCTTCAGTAAGCATTGGAGCGTGTTGGCTTTATTGTTGTTTTATTTGAATGTTTTTTTTGTTAGCTTGTCCAAGGCAAAATATATTACTTATCTTGTGATACTGATACTTGTAATTTGTATCTTATTTGTTATTTTGTACATTCCAAAAGAATGGAGTCTACCTATAGAACATGGATTCATGCAACAAAGGACACTTCCGGGACATGGAAGTGTGAGGAACTATGCAGGGATCTATATACCACCCTTGGCACAACCAAATGGCAGGTAATCTCATTATCCCTCCCCTTATTTGTGCCTCTGTGATTGTCTGTGTGTGTCCCCTTCATGTGTACTTGGATTAGCTTTGGGAATTTAATACATTTTGGGTGTGTCCTGTGTAATAGCTAGAGGAGTTTGGGAAGGCCGTCCAATCAAGTTACAACAAAGGATCAGGCGAGGATGCAAAAGATAGACATCTTCAATTTATTTCTGCAATTGAGGACCAAATTTCAAGGATTGAAAAATCATTGCAGGAATCAGCCCTTTCAGAGGGCAAAACAATGCTGCCTTGGGTGCAATTAGATGAAGGTGAATGTGACGAACTTGCCTGGTTTTTGTCTGGACCATCACAGTCTGAGGAAAATAAAGATCCTAACAGGAATGGCAATGATAATGAAACCCCACAAGAACCAGTGTCTGATCGCTTAAAGAATTCTAGCCATTCAGTTGATTGGGGTTCTTTAGAGGCTAGGGGTGAGAGGTCACATGGGCATAGGCGGATAGCTAGTGCCAGTGCTGACATTGATGAATGGAAGATTGTAATAGCTGACGCTGGTTTCCAGCAGAATCTTGGTCCTGCTAAGGGCCAGCCTCCTCTTCCTCCAAGGAAAATACCAAGTCTCTCTGGGTTCCTAAATTCCATGGAATCTGCCTCAAAGTTGAAATGGTCAACAAATAGTGTTAGGAAGTGGAAAGCAGTAGACTGCCAACAAGAGACTGATCTGGAGTTATTGCGATCTCCTCAGATGACTAGGGTGAATATTTTTTCTGCTTCTCTACTAAAGAAATTCTTCATTGATTTTCCTTTCAATTGTCACAACATTCTGTGCTGTGTGAGTAACAATTACAAGTTTTATTTACCACATTCTTTACCAGGGCCTCAATGCATGTTATGAAAGAAGTAAGAGTTGCCTAGGCTGTGATGATTGTTATGATAAGCATCTCAATGGCTGGTATGGAGCTATTCAGAGGCAGCTTCAAAGGTCTCAGTATCAAGTACAATATAGTCAGCCTTTTAAAGTAGCATTTTCGATTATCCTCTTCATTTGCTTAATTGGTGAGTTTTCCTAAATTCCTGTCTGATATCTTCCCCCATTACTTGACTTGTGTGCTTCTCTGATTAGTTTGCAAGTACTCATTCCCTTGCAATCATCTGGACATTACATTGAAATTTTTTCTACTTAGTGCATAAACCTCTTGTATTGTGTGCTTGCTTTCTGATAGTTAAGAACATCTAAAACTTATTATTAGCTGTCTTTGCAGTACTTCATTTAATATTGATATCAAGAAATTAGAGCTGAGATCAAGTATTTTGATCCTGTGTACTCCAAGCATAAAGTCATGGTGTGTAAAATTTGCATGATATTCTTTCACATTATGGTGCTATTGCTTAGCCTCTAGTTTAATTTTTTTAGGAAAATGATTGGCACCCTCCTGTTTGACACGCCTTTTGACATCCTTCCTGTTCAGCCTTTAAAATATAACATAAGTATACCTTTTTTAATAATAGGTGTGTTATCAAGTGTGTTAAATTGAAAGGTGTACTAATTAATATCTTTTTTTTTTAATAGGAATACTTTTGTCAAAAAATGCATGTCTTGGTTAAATATTCACATATTTTTAGTTGAGTTCATAATATCTATGAGGCTTATGCCTTCTGTTTGATGGTTTTATGCAGTTTTAATTGCAGTTCGGACTGTAGTAGTTTGAACGGTAAGTTCAGGATCTTCAGCCTGTAATTTACATTAAGGCGGCAGAATATTTGGAGTTATGAGATCAATGGATAACATAAGTTGCGCAGTTACGGTTCCAGTGGATAGAGTTGATTATTTGATTGGCGTAATTGCAATATTATCTTTGAAGGGTCCAATTTCTCCTTGCTAGTTATACCACAAAACTGACAGGGCCTTCCTTGCCCCTCCCCACTTTTTCTGTGGACAATATCTTGTATTCTCCTACGAAATATTGATTTCTGGATGAAGGGGCAACTTCTGTTTGTATCACTAAGGAGCCCACCAGTGACAGAGAAGCTAGACCAAGGTTTCAGGCCCAGAATGCTGCCTTGGAAATTTGTTTTTGATACAAGTACATTGGAAATTTTAGATGTTGTAATATATTATCTTTTTCTTCTCCTCATTGTACCTGAAACTTCTGTCCTTGTGTCTACACATATTTGTAGCATGTCAAAGGCAGATTTTGTCCCCTTGTACTCTGTACAGTAGTAGTTTCATAATTACGAAGAAAAATCCATATTCAATCCCCATATTTATTGCCAAAGACAAACGCGTGACATGATACAATATAATATAATCCTAGTTCCAGTGAGAACACAGATCAAACTGAGATTGCCTGATTCATTAGACCATTTGGGCAGCGTTGGATAGGTATCTGTAACTGAAGTAGGAACCGGCGACCAAGAGCGGCACGAAGAACTCGAGGAACGCTGCGTATTTGGGTGTTTGGCCGCCCTTGACCACAAAAGCACTCATCTCTTTCTTCTTTGGTTCCTCAACCGGAGCACCATCGGTGCCGCCCTCCTCCTTGATAGTATACCCCTGGAGAACACCCACCTGGTACTTGGCCAGCAGGTTTTGCGCCGCATTGCTGTGTCCGATGTCGATGAATTCCTTGGTGGCATCCTTGCCTGCTACTTCCAACAGCACCTCTTCTCCTCCCGGGTGATCGTCCAAGAAACTGGTGACGTTCAGTACCTATAAAAAGCCAAACCTCAGTTAATTCCTCATCCCAACAATGATCGAAAGGGAAGTAAAAAAGAGGGAAGAGGATTAATTACTCTGCCGTTAATGACAAGCCAGCAATCTTTCTTGGATTTGTGTCCGGCAACCTGGGAGAGGGTGAAAACTCTCTTTTCCGCCATTGCTGAGTTCCTGTCCCGCGCGCGTTAATTAGGCAGTGAGCTGGGGGGCAAATTATGTATCTTTCTCTGGGTAATTTATTCTGATTCCGGAGAAAATTTTGGTGAGGATTGAAGAAACAGGAATCTGAGCACGCCAGCTACCCCCAGAATAAGAGGATGGTGAGCACGCGACGGACTAACGAAAATCTGAACTTTTGACTGTTAGTTGGCGAGGAGGGAGGGCAATGATATGCTCACACCAAGATTCCTTTTGGTCACATAAGTCCACTGTTACTGCTAAGGTGCTTGAAAATGAGTTTAAATGGGAATTTTAAATTATTAAATAATAAATATTATCTATTTTATTTATTATAAAATAATATTTATAATTCTTTTCATAGTATTAAATTTTTTTATATTAAAAAATTACATTAAATTATTATTAATTTAAACCCTAATCAAACTCTTAATAGAAGAAATTTTTTTTTATTTGTCTTTTCATTTATAAAATTTAAATTTTAAATAAAATAAAATTTAAATTTAAAATGAATCAAATTCTCTAACCATTGATAATTTTTATAATTATTAGTTATTTTTAATAATTAAATTAAATATATTTTTATTATTTTTCTATGGGTATATCCATGGCCGAGGAGAGTACTAAACATTTTAACCGTACGGTATTAACTGATTTTTTTTTTTCTTTTGGGGGGGGGGGGGGGGTGTTGGGGTATAGAGATAAAGATGAGTAAATGTCAATTTATAAGGATGTAAATGCGCAAAACCCTCTAACCAATTTTCAACAAAAACAATTTAAGATTTAAGTAGCTGTTTTGGAAATTCAAATTTTGCATTAATTAGTATAGCACTCACACGTGTACGTTATCTTAACTGGACAAAGATAATTGATTAATTGGTTTGGTGAGCTGGCTACATTGTTGTTGGGTACATGTTTTGTTATTTTAATCTACCACGAGGACATAATTATTGGGGAGCTACAATTGTTTTTCATTGTAATCCGCATGTTTGCCGTGCGATTATTTGAGGTAAAAACTTAGTTTTAGTATTTTTATTTTATTAAATTTATAAGTTTTAATTTCTTATTTTATATTATAGCACTTTTAGTCCCTTACTTATCATAATTAAAGAAAATAGTTTTCAGTTATAACATTTTGTTAATTTTATTAACTAATGATTAATTCTATTAGCTGACTATTTGTTAATTATTAGTTGGTAGAAACTTATTTTCAGCTAATAAAATTAACAGTTAATTAATAAAATTATTCTATTAGTTAACTGTTAATTCTATTAGTTGACTGTTAACTGACTGTTGACTAGTAAAAATTTACTTTCAGCTAGTAGAATTAACAATCAGCTAACATAATTAACAATTAGTTAACAGAACTAACGAAATATTATAAATTGATAGCTATGTTTTTCAATTCTAATAGGTGAGGGGTTAAAACTATCATAATATAAAATAATGAATTAAAACTTATAAATTTGGTAAAGTAAAGGGCTAAAACTAGACTTTTGCCAAAATTTGATGAGTATACTTAGAAAGAAGAGGTTAGGCTTAATTAATCTAAAGCCAAATAGCTTAATTAAAACCAATAATTTATTAGTTCAAATATGAGAAATTCGATTATTTTTAAATAAAATTTTAAATTTAAGTATTATGAATATATAAATAAGTACTAAAAATATTTATTCTTTATAAGATTTAATCTAATTTTATTTTAAATTAATTGAGATTTAATGTTGCTTTTGAATATCAAGTAATTTAATAAGGAAAAAGCTGAATCAAAGGCCGAAGTGCAAAATCATTTGCTTAGCATTGGTATTTGCGCAACAAAGCAATTCTCAACTCCGAAAACCTACCGAATGTTACCTAATAGAGATAACAGTTAGAAATACAGGGTAATCCTGCGAACAAGTTTCTTTTTGATAAATATTATTGTTAACTCTACTTGGGTTCAGCTTAGGTTGTTATCTAGTGTATATATCCTAAGCTGAAGTACTTCTAGTGATATCTAGTGTATATCACTAGATAACAACCTAAGCTGAAGTACTACGGGAAGTTATATATACAGGGATATATATAACTTAAGCTGAACCAAAAGATAACAACCTAAGCTGCATAAGAAATATTCATAACTTCCCACTCAGAGAAGGCCTTGTTTATAGGGCAAATGCAATCATCCAACATACATTTATAAACTGCCATAATAAAAGTCGAGAACAAGTGTAGATAAGGATATAAAAATTTTTTTTTTCTATTTAAAAATGTGAATTTTACTGATTTTAAACAAAACGGTAAACTTTCAATTTTTTTTTAATTTAAAATTGTTTTATTTAAAAATGTCGACGTTGTGTTTTTTTATTTTATGATTAATTTGATGGTTAATTATGCTGATGCGTCAAGTAACTTTTTTAATCATCTAATTAATCTTTAAATAGAAAAAATATAAAGTTAACATTTTTAAGTATAAAAAGTTAAAAACTTATTATTTTATTTAAAAACAAATAAAATTTGTATTCTCAAATAAAAAAAATAAAAAAATTTGTCAACAAATCTTTATCAGCAGAACGAATAGGTTTACCACATCGTGGTTGAAGTAGAAAGGTTTGTCATGCATGAACTACTTGATTGCTAACAGGTTGCGACGAGTTTCTATGAGTAAGTTTGTTAAACACATAACCAGAAAGCCTATTAATTGAATTTATGTTGTTTAAGTATCTTGTGCGAAAAGACTAGTAAGTTGCCAAGAATAGCCCCTTCTTGAACAAGATGCTAAAGTTCTCAACTTTCAATTGCACATAATCAAACATCAAGAATGCCTAATTAGGTTATACAAATGAAATGACACAGAATAAGAAAACTGCATTACCAAACAATACCAACTTCCTAAATAAACCGAGAAACTTCAATTACCGTAATTTTCTAACAAACAACAGTCAATTTCTTGTCAAAATAAACTGATCAGAATTCAGAAGTACCAAAAATCATGTAAGGTATCTGCTATACCTGCGAATTCTGAAGATAAAATTAAAACCCACTTGCTCAATTTTACAAACTCATAAATTCTTAATGGGTATCTCCATCTTGTGTAGTGTAATAGATGTATTTTTATTCATAAATTTTTGTTAAAAAAATTTATCTTTAATTTATTAATTGGACAATTAAATTTATCCATAGCATCAATACTAAAATTAATATTGTATAGTGCTTAAACTTCATGATTGGATAACTCTATATCTTAAAATGTGCACACTTAACTCAAAAATTAAGGTTGGAATCCCTGTTTCTTAAATTATAATCTGTTCAAAAAAAATTAATATCATATTAATTTTTTCATTCTTCTATACTAATTTATGGTAAAAATATGCATTTATTACATTGCTCACACAAATTTAAAAACCCCTTCTTTAAATTCCCATTTAAAGATTACATGCAATTTAACAAAGAATTACTGAAAATTCAGAAACTTTGATGTTAAACAATCAAGAAGAATATGGTACCTTCAAAACCCCATCCCACTCCGGAACCACAACCAACACCAAAACCTGAGAATCAAAATCAACAGAAGAAAAAAGAGGTGAAAAGAAATTGCTAAATATAGTGTACAGCTATGCTCATAAGCTAGGAAGCATACCAAAGCCAACACCAACGCCGTCGAAGTTTGTAAGCGTCATTTCTCCTCTGCGAAAAAATGGACTTAAACCACTATGATTGAAACCAGCAAATCCAGAACATATCAAAGACGAGACCAAACTACAATCTGATCTGCTACGAAGATTAGGCCAACAGATCTTGCTAGTGCCAGAAAATAGTAAGAACAGAAAGCGCTAAAGAAATGGAGCTTTTTAGCTCTAGGCCTGAAACAACGGGGAGAATTCCCAGATGCCGAAATTTCGAAGGGCCCGATCTGGTTTTTGCTCCACGGAATAACGAGGTTCTCTCTCCATCTTCCAGATGGATCAAGGATTCAAGGCCGCATGTTGAAATGTAGACAATTTGGGGTTTAGGCCCAATATCATTTTAATTAGTCAGCTTGTGTTGTAGGTTAGGTTGGTGAGCCCACTCCGTTGCTAGATAAGGTTGCATATCTCGGATTGAGCCTCATCGAAAAGAATATTAGATATTAGATATGAACCACATGCATAACATCAATCAAAGAAGAGTGGTTCCATGCAGATCCATTTGTTTGAAAAAAGCTCATAAAAAACAAAGCTTCATCATGATAAGAGGTGTTTTGTCTTTCAACAATTTTGGAAAAAAGGGGGAAGCCCACTTTTATGGGTCATTTGTTTTGATTGGAAAGGGATAGGTAATAGCAATTGGCTCCTAAATTGTTTGATTGGGTGTTTGAAAAAATAATTTTATCAACTAAATAAAGATATTTGGAAAGTTATTTTTATAAGTATCAATTATTAGTTATTGGTTATTTTTTAATAAAAACTTTGTTAATTATCAAAAAGACAAAGTAAGGGACATGTGAAACACGACATGACTACCACCAATCCTATTGGATCTCGTTGAGACTAATTTATTACTCAAGGTCTACAAACCTAAATGAATAGCTAGAGAAAGTCTCAAATCCGAGCTACTACAAGTCCAAAAACAACTTACAATTACTTCTAGATTATATGGTGGGGTGATATGATACCCTGCCATGAACCAATACAACTACCCACTTGGAGAGAAAACCCTCTTAAAGCAATGCCCCATAATGCACTAGTGCACTAGAGCCCTCATCAGCTATTAAATGCATTTAATTTTAAACTGTTAAAACAAGCACTTAGCTTTCATCCGTAAACGGACTACAAATGCACTTTTTCTCTTCAAACAAACTTTGCCATTACAAGAAAATTGCATGAATAACACAGTGGACTTCCCCCTCCCAAATTTGCAACGCTCATTTTTTGAGCAAATTTTTTCCCCCAAATTTCCCTCTCACAGAACTCCAAAAGCATAGCACTTTCAATTTCTCAGGGCACAAATTTGTAAGCCTTCATCTTATCAATCCAAGTAATGAATGAATTCTTTGAGTTTCTAAACCCCAAGAATCCATGCTCCTTGCTCTTGTTCATGCTCGCCAGCGGTCCCTCCACTCCCAGCACCAAATCCACGAACCACCATCCACCCACCTCCTCCAACCTGCTCTCTTGCAACTGATTCTCCCTCACTATCTCCTCCCACACGCTCTCCTTCCCCTTCATCATCTCTGTCAACCCCAAATTTTTCCCCTCCTCGAAACCATACCTCTCAATCCCAAATTGCTCCGCTAGCACCTTCCACAACTGCTTCCACCGGTATACGTCCCCGTTGTTCACATTAAATGCTTCGTTCCTCGCGTAAGGATCCACCGCTGCCCATATCTGGTGCTCCGCGATCAAATCCGCATCCGACGAAATCGAGTAGCATTCCCAGGCTGCTTTGCTTCCAGGAAATAACAACGGTATTCCCTCGTGCTTGCATATTGCGGCATAGACACACAGAGTGCCGATTATGTTCATCAGACTGTATGGGGAAAACCCCCATATCATGCTTGGCCGGTGTACCGACCAGGTCAATCCCTCTTTTCTCTCCACCTCTTCGAACAAAATATCCTCTTGAGTGTAATAAAAATTGGGCACGTTTAACCTGGGTAAGTCCTCCGTGAACGGCGGGTCGTGGGACTGAATTTTTCCGAACAATTCGAATGGTCCCCGATAGTGTTTGGCTCCCGTTTGGAGGCAAACGTGTCGGAGATTGGGCGCGTTGGGAACCACCGAACGCAGCACGTTACGGAGCATGGCGCCGTTGGCCTCACAGTTCTCTGCCTCCGTAGATCGGTTGGTCCAGGCGACATAGAAGATGTGGGTAACATCAGTGAGCTGGGATAGCTTCTCTTCCGTCTCCGCCAGATCGGACACGTCGCATTGAATGTATTCGATCTGGTGATCGGCGTTCCAGTTTGGCCTGGGCCGCCTCGCCACACCGTACACTTTCCATGGGCCGCCGGGTGTGTCCGACAACGGTAGGATTTCAGCCAGGCTGTTCCCAACAATCCCAGTCACCCCCACCACCAGTCCCACACTCTGGTAGCTCCGCGGCGCTTCATCTTCGTCTAATTTCTTCTGCAAAATCAAATATCCAGCCAACTGGCATCAGGTCTATAATGAAAAATCAGAATGCAGACCAGAGAGAGGAATAGAGTGGGATACCTTAGCAGCGCCGATTGCACCAGCCCACCACCAGCTCATCCTGAATCAGAATGACAGAATGGCAGAGAAATTGGAACGATTGATAGATGAAAACAAATGTGAAGAGAGAGAGAGAATGGTGGGTGGATGGATACATGAGGTCTAACCGTGGGTCTTAAATTAATCTGAATTTTTTTTTTTAATATTCGATAATTATATTATTTTTTAATTAATTTAAAATCAAATCTTATTAAATTTATAAAAAAAATATTTTTAATATTTATTTTTTTATTTAAGATTCAAATACCATAGTTTATTTTTAAAAAAATTAAATTTTTTTTAGTCGGATCATTGATAATTAATATGAAATTTTGGTTGAGAGAGGGTCGTGTTTCAGCTTCGACTTACAAACAGATACAGATAAATAAAAGAAAGGTGACACTGACCCGGGGTAATCACATTTTCCGATTCTGGCAGGATCGGGTTCGAGGATACGTCTGGAAGGTCGGTTGGAGCTATTAGCCTCAATGTTTCATTTTTGGTATTTTCTGCCTATTATTTTTGGCAAAACCTAAAAAATTATTTTTTTAAAATTATTGAAATAAATAAATTACTTAATGTATGACATTATTATATGTTAAAAATTGATCTGTTATTTAAATTTTTTTAATAAAAAAATTGACACATTAATAATAAGTATTTTGTCATAATTGATAATTTAAAAAGTTAATTTATCTCTCTTTTTGGACAAATTTATCTCAATTTTACTATTTAAGGGTATTTAAAGGATGAAATTTGAAGATTTTACCATTATTTTTTAAAAATAAAACAAGGCATATACTCCTCTCAAAATTTTTTACAGAACTTTTCTAAAATCTCAACTTCTAATTAATATTTTTAAAAGGGGGTTAGTTTTTAAAATCACATGTTTAATGGTTTTTTAACAATTGTTTATGTTGAAATTAAAAAATTTAAGAAAAATTATTGTCTTATTAACATTTTAAAAGAATAGAATACTGACCAAGTAAAGTGCAAACCTTTTCTAAAATCAAGCTAATGCAGCTATGGAGTCTCAGTCCACGCATCACTTGTTAATTCTTTTAATTTACAGTTTTACACTGATCATTTCTTTTCTACCACACTTTCCTATCTCAAGATTACAATAAATTTTATTTAATTCCAAATTAAATTACATCAGATCTCACAAAAAAAAAATTCCATTAGTATTTATCTCTTTGTTTATAAAATTCAAAATCAAAAGCTTTTCCCTTTTTTTTTTTTATTTTTAAACAAATTTATAAAAAATCATATTCAAACCGTATCTTAAAGTGAAAAAATGCATTTATACATTATTTAACGCCACTTAACCTAAAAGGTCCAAGTGCCAAAAAAAACATTCCTCTTATTCAATCAACAATTTATAAGTAATTTACATTGATATAAGTATAAATTTACGGTATTATTGCACAACTTTTCTTACCTTTACTTGTAGTGTTCAGTAGTCTGAAGTCGATAATAAAAATAAAATAAAATAAAGAAAAATAAACAAGAAAAAGAAATTTCTCCACACCAAAAGTAGCTACTTTCTCAGGGCACAATTTTGTTAGCCTTCATCTTATCAATCCAAGTAACAAATGAATTCTTGGAGTTTCTAAACCCCAGGAATCCATGCTCCTTGCTCTTGTTCATGCTAGGCAGCTTCGCCTCCATTCCCAGAATCAAATCTGCAAACCACCAACCACCCACCTCCGCCAAGCTCGTCTTCTGCAGCTGATTCTCCTCCACTATCTTCTCCCACACTGCCTCCTTCCCCTTCATCATCTCCGACAATCCCACATTTTTCCCCTCTTCAAAGCCATACCTCTCTATCTCGAATTGCTCCGCCAGCACCTTCCACAGCTGCTTCCACCTGAAAACATCCCCATTGTTCACGTTAAATGCTTCGTTCTTCGCATACGGATCCACCGCCGCCCATATCTGGTGCTCCGCTATCAAATCTGCATCCGATGAGACCGCATAACATTCCCACGCCGCTTTGGTACCGGGGAATAACAAAGGCAAACCTTCGTGCTTGCATATTGCAGCGTAGACGCAGAGAGTACTGACAAGGTTCATCATGCTGTAAGGCGAAAACCCCCAAATTGTATCCGGCCGGTGCACCGACCAGGTCAATCCCTTCTTTTTCTCCACCTCTTCGAACAGAATATCCTCTTGGATGTAGTAAAAATTGGGCACCTTTAGCCTGGGCATGTCCTCCGTGAAAGGCGGATCGTGGAACTCGATCTTTCCGAACGATTCGAACGGCCCAACATAGTGTTTGGACCCTGTTTGTAGGCAGATGTGTTGGAGATTTGGCGCGTTGGGGATCACCGCGCGCAGCACGTTACGGAGCATGGCGCCGTTGGCTTCACAGTTCTCTTCCTCCGTAGATCGGCTGGCCCAGGTGACATAGAAGATGTGGGTAACGTCAGTCAGCCGGGAGAGTTTGGCATCGGTGTCAGCCTGATCTAATACATCGCACTGAACGTACTCGATCGGGTGATCGGCGTTCCAGTTGGGCCTGGGCCGCCGCGCAACACCATACACTTTCCACGGACCACCAGGGGTGTCCGACAACGGTAATATTTCTGCTAAGCTGTTCCCCACGATTCCGGTCACCCCCACCACGAGTGCCACACTCTGGTAGCTTCGTGGTGCTTCATCTTCCTCGAATTTCTTCTGCAAAATCAAATACCCAAAAAAAAAAAAAAAAAACCCAAAAATAACATCAAATTCACATCATTACATAATTCTACAACGCAAAAATCAAATACCCAGAATGAAACGTGCCTTAGCAGCGCCGATTGCACCAGCCCACCACCAACTCATTTTGGGTTCGTCGAATTAGAATCACAGAGAGCAAATGAGATGACAAATGGAAGGACAGAAATGAGAGAACCGTAGGCTAATTGAATGTGATTGCGTGTCGTGTGGCAGAATTAAGAGCTGTAATTTTCAAAGCTGGCGCCAGGAATGACATCTGTAGCCGAAAACTAGGACAATTGGAAAGTAGGTGGGGTACCCTTAACATTGCCACGTTTTTCTAATTTATCTTCTTCTTTTTTATTTGAGCCATATCTTGTTATTAATCTATCGTTACATTACACAATTTTTTAGGACTTTATATTTTAAAAATAATAAAATTAATTTTTATTTTAATTATAAATAAAAATTTGCACCAATAATCTTCTTCTTCTTCTTCTCCTTCTTCTTCTTCTTCTTCTTCTTTTTTCAAATTACGTAAAATTTTTCTTAAGTTCCCTTTTCTAAAAATAGTATATTGGCCTCATGTCTTTCATACTCTTTTTATTTTATTCATAATACTGTAATTGGTTAACATGATAGATGAATAGAACAGAGAATGTAAAATTACGTATAAAATATTATTTTTTTTAAAAATGTGGTATAAAAATTTATAAAGGCCTTTAATTGGTTTCTTAAAAAAAAATTTAATTACTTGCCAAATTGCCTTTCTTCTGGGCCGAAAATGCTCTGATATTTTTGGGCCAACATATCAACTAAAGCAGAGCAAATCTGACTCATTCGAGGTTAGGAACTTGGGATGTTGGGGCAACGTTGGCCCACTCCATCGCTTGATCCAGTCTTGTTTCACTTTCTGGCCCGGTGAATATATTCAGACTGTAAATCACAATTGAGACTGTCGTATAGTTTATATTATTTTTTGGTAACTCAGCTCGTTAACAACTTAAGATTTCAAGTTAAAAATTATGAAGTAGGAAAAGATTTGGAAGAAAATAAATGTTATTTTCTCTTATATATATATATATATGTATTTTTGAACAAGTTGTTAAGAGACGGGCTTGAAACCATCCATAAAAAAGAGGGAGAATACACCTCAAGCTAATAGAGTGTCAGTTAACCGTAGAGTCAGGTGTGTTATTTTTTTTTATATAATTTATTATCAAATAAAACAAAAAATCATAACTTATACTTACAAGGGCAAATTGCGCTTAACACCCAACGTCATAAAAAGGTGCGTTAAAGTTCATATGGTTTCAGAAATGACGCTCAGCCCCCCATATAATTAAATATAGAGAAGGGTAAAAAAAGTAGGGGGGGGTGGGGAATCCCTAAATGGAACAAAAAAAATATAAAAAATAAAAATAGACCAAAGAAAAAAAAAGGATACGAAGAAAGGGAAAAAAGAAAATAAAGACGGCATTTTTTACTTCTCACCTTCAATATTTGCTTGCCTCATATTAAGTCAAATTACATGAGATAAATGTACATATTTGTAATTTTAACTGTTTATGTAAGTATCCCAAATTACATGGGGCATAAGTACAATTTACTGGAAACAAAAATGTTTAAGAGAGGATTGGTTATCATTACAAAAATGATTTATTGACAATATTTATTAACAACGAATACTCATAATATAATGTGTCAATATAATTCTATAGACTCATTATACTTGAATTTCAACAGATAAAATAGATGAGATTTATAAATCGATATGCATCTACTTATTAAGTAGTTATTTACTCAATTCCATGATTAAAAATATTAAAATTTTCAACAAAAAATTTTCAACCAAACCACAATAGAGTTGAAATGAATTCTATTAAAATAATAAAATCAAAATAAAAATTTTTAGTCAAAGCACAACAGTAGAATTGCAAATGAACTAAGTGGAATTCATTTAAACTAAACACACTCTTGCCAAAATTCAAAGTAGCTTTATGCAAGTAGAAAAGAACCCTATGGATTTTGTCAGTATGTTGCTTTACACATCGGCTGTCGAGCAGGTGCATATTTGCCTAACTTAAAGCCACCACTGAGTCAATTCATTTGGTAAAACATTGAATCCATGATGTCCTCTTCAAAAGTTCTGATTTTTACCTGCAAAAATATAATGTTTTCTGTGAAAGCAAAGAAAACGAGTACTTGTGGAGCAATCTATGCATTTTAGTGCTCTGATTTTGTTTTGTTCTTTCTCCATGTATTTTATGTACAATGTGCTCACGTGGTCCTCTGAACAAAAAAAAAAAAAAAATC